ACTGTGGGTCAGGGAGGCCCAGGTAATGATCCCCTGCCCTCCATTGATGCTGACTTCGTGACGGAACATCTTGAGAAGCTGGATACCTTCAAGTCAGCCGGCCCTGACAATCTTCACCCCAGGGTACTCAAGGAGCTGGTGAGCATCATAGCCCAGCCTCTAGCATGGATCTTTGAAAACTCTTGGTGCTCTGGTGTAGTGCCTGAAGACTGGAAGAAGGCCAATGTGGTGCCTATCTTCAAGAAAGGGAGGAAAGTGGATCCGGCTAACTATAGGCCCATTAGCCTGACTTCTATCCCGGGGAAAATCTTAGAAAAGTTTATTAAAGAGGCCATTCTTAATGGACTGGCAGCCCTCGATGGCTTGCCAAAACTCAGTAAGTGGCCCTCTGCCCAAAATAATTGCCCACCCGTGCTCTAATCTAAGTTTACCTTCCTGCAAGTTGAGACCATTGCTCCTTGTTTTGTCATCTGCCACCATTGAGAACAGTTTAACTCCATCCTCTTTAGAACCTCCCTTCAGGTAGTTGAAGGCTGCTATTAAATCCCCTCTCAGTCATCTCTTCGCTAGACTAAGCCCAGTTCCCTCAGTCTTTCCTCATAAGTCATGTCCCCATAAGTCACTGCCTCCTGGCCTACTGTGCCATTCGCGTCAGTCTCTTTGGGGAACTCCAGGGTTGCATGGCACAATTTGAAAACCACTACACTACACCATTAAACAAGTATGAGGTCCTAGTCTGTATTTATAATCCACTTAACTGCTTGGATGCAAGCTACCTTGAAGAGTCATGTACATAATTCAGGAGTCTCCAAGGCCATTACATGCTTCCAAAACTGCTTCTGGAACATGTCACAACCCAAAATTGTGGTTTTTTCTTGTTTGTGTGTGCTTCGGCATTGCTAAATCTTGTTCCCGCCAAATTGCAGCTCTTTTGCGCGGTGGAGTGTTCTGTTGCAATTAAGAACCCGCATGCAGGAGTTTTTCCTGCCAGTTTTGTAGCTTTCTTTGCAGGGTGCATTTCTTCTTTGCAGCACAGAAATGCACGGTGCAAAGAGTTCCCGCTATTCGAATGCAAATTTGTGTCCCGCTATTGGCCAGTGCTAAATTATTCCTATGTAGCAGCTAGTAATTGGCTAGCTAGCCGTTCAAAAGGCTTGGGTAGTTTCCGCCCAAGTCGGAGAGAGAGAAAGCACGTGGAGTTCGGGAAAGGAGCGTGAGGATCTCTAAGCGCTGCTGATCCCTACGAACCCAGCTTTTTCCTTAAGAGGGCAACAGAGGTTTAATTTGTCGAACACACGGAGCTTCAACAACTCCGGGGGACCTATTTACCGAACCCTCGGAGCCTTAACAACTCCGAGGCGCACAACCTCTAGCCTCTCCCCGTCGCCAATCGCAGTCCAGACGTATCCCTATCCTAAGGACCCAATTGTCGAACCCACGGAGTCTTAACAGCTCCGGGGGGACCTGGGAACCGAGTAACCCACGGAGATACAGCTGCTCCGTGAGAACGAATTATTGAACCCGCGGAGCCTAAACCACTCCGGGGTCAAGGAACCGAGTCTATTAGAATCCTCCACTGAGAACTCAAGCGGAGCCGTGCCTGGAAAGCTGACCAGCCTACACCACGACCACCTTGGGTGTAAGTAAATAATCTTTTCAATCAACCATTACGCCTCCGTGACTGATTCTAGCTCGAGCGTACCATACCGCACCGCGGTTTTCTCCAACCCCGCGTGCCCGGGCTGCTGGGCCCGGCTCGCCCCCGGCTCGCACATGGCGACCCAGATGGGATCGGGAGAGAACTCGCACATGGCGACCCAGGCGGGATCGGGAGAGGGCTCGCACAGAACACAGTTTCTGGCTAAGACAGAGGTGGGCCAAAGTATTTGCATATCCCACCCTTAGCTCTAGAAAACTATACCTAGGATCTGCCAGATAGCCTTAGCACCTTATACTACAAGACTCACGTTTAGAGGTAACAGCACTGACAAGAGAATGTGGGAGAGAGGAAGTGAAGGACAAGTGGACAGAAGGAGAGGGCAGGAAAAAAGCTACAAACCCCCAAATCCAAACATGCATGAAGGTAATGAGCTTACTATTCAGAGCACACTCTGCTACTACTTCAGTTCCAGAGAGAGCTTAGATAGTACACAGTAAAAACACCTAGGATAGAAAACATCCCCCTGCTGCCATTATGACTTAATGACTTTCCTTCCAATTTCACAGAGGTGCTAATGTCTCTATTAACATCTACCAGAGATGGAAATGCCATACATCAACAATACAGCTGTGCTTCCTGGTTCCTGAGCAGAAGTTTTAGAAGCATTACAAAATATAGCAAATGTAAAAAATTTGATGGGCCAACATAGCAAGACTGACTAGAAAGAGCAATGATGGGAGGCAGATGTTCAATCTCTGAGAGTAATTAGGTGTCTTGTCCCGTGGCTGCATCTCCCACAGGCTGGCAGGATATATAATTTGCGTCCTTGTGATTTGGAACGCTAGCAGAGAAAAAATGAGTCAGGAACATGGCGAGCATAATTTGCTCAAATTACCACTGGGCAGAGAGACTCCTCTTCTTTTATCTTGAGATTTAAAAACGGACATCATGGCAGAAAGGATAAAAAAGCAAGTTGTGATAGACCTTACCATTGGGTAAGAAAGTCTTCAGAACAGGTCTCCACCCAAGGCTGGGGCTTACAAGCTAAATCAAGGGCAAGGCAGTTTATAAAGAATGTTCTTCGACTGCTGTTTTCTGATTGTTCACATTAGACCGCTCCTGTTGATTTGTAACATTGGGCATGTTAACATTTAATCAGCACTATGGTAGAACAGTAGAGGTGGGTGCTGTACATCTAAATATAGTAGTTATACTTAAAAAAAAAAAAAAAGATCTTGAAGCATTTATCTTAATCTATTTCAGATGAAAACAGAATATAGTATTTTTATGAGGATCAGTGAACTGCTGCTTGCTGCTTCCTGTAGATCACTATTCTTATTTGAGAACTAAATGCGACAGCAGCTGATGTTGTGACTTTACTCATTAAAATCTTTCAGTTGTGATAAATTACTATTTTTGGTTTGAAAACATCCCACTTGAAACAGAGTGGGTAGAAAAGACACTTGGGAGAGGCATGCCACATGGTTTCTAAATCCTATGTCTCTGTACAGCAAAAAATATCACAAGAACCACCTTTCACATCTAATCAGCACTTTTGAGGGCAAGGGAAAACATTTTGTTTTACTGTGTCACTGAAAACAAAAAGTCTTATGAATAAACATTAACGGAGTGGCTGACACGTCAGCCTATTTGTAACGTTTTCCATTCAGCCAGCTGTAGAGGAAGTATAAGGCTAGCTTAAAATGCCTATAACAAAGCAAAAAATAATGGTGAGGTATATTGAAACTCTTGGTCCTCCCAGTAATAAGATGGCACTGCAGATAAACCAAAAAGATTTCTTTACCTTGCAGTTGAAGATGCAACATCTAAATTTTTAATTAGATTATATGTTTGGGTCCAAATATTCCTAAATTGATCCTAATGGCACCAGGCTACAACATTTCTGAAACGTGAGGCCAGGACCCTAAGATAAATTTAGGAATTCAGCGTTAGGTTCCTATTTTTCATAATCTCTATTTTGGTTTCAGGAACTCCCACAAAGAACTGCAAAGCTACCAAGCAGGAAACTGGACACCATTCGGTTGCAGCCCAACAAATGAGGGTCAGTTTACCCGATACAGCATCCAACTTACTTAGTTAGTCTCCTTTTGTCTGTCTTTCCCTCTTTCTTGAATAGAATCAATGCTGCTACCACAGTCTATCACATGAAATTCTTAAAATATGAATATAATAATATGTATATAATATACTATATAAAGGGTAAGGACTGAGTAATAAACAGAAAAATGCAACATTCATAAAAATATTCCTCCTTCTCTCATGTTCATCCTAACACCTAGATATGTTACAATGGTAGAAGGTGAGAGTTTAGAAACAGTAGTAACAGTTATACAGCTTAATACAGCCCAGTAGTAATACAGCTCCAGCCCATTTTCATACACAAGTGCAACCGTTACCTAGCAGAATTTTTATTTGAATTTTACATTCACATTTTGCCATTCATGTGGGTGGCTTTTACACTGTTACGTAATAAATTTACATTGTTCTACTCTTTCGTGTGCATTGGTTTCAGCCATCAAGAAATGGTAAAACTAACAATGAACAACTGTTCCATATATCTATATTCAGGCTGGGAAAAATTATGAGTTTTTTCCTCACCCGCTGTCAAATTCCCCCAACTTTTAGGTTTTGTTCTGTTTTTCCCTTTTAAATCAGCATTTATGTTTAGCGATTACAAACTCATCTATATTTGTTTCTACTAATCAAGCTGGCATTTCCTGTGCGTTTGTTATGTATAACATGAATCTTTTTCTTTCACTTTTATTGAAGACAGATCAAAACATATCATTACTGGCTGTTCAGAGGTGCTCTCTGATGGTGCTATTGCGCAATATAATTTTTCTGAGCCTGGTGATCTTAACATTATAGGGCTATAACACAGATAAACTTGTAGTGCTTTACAGTTTACAGACTTTTGCCAAACCTTTCCATAGAATGAAAGCAATTTATAAATGACAAAATACCGCAACCAATTAGCACATACAAACATTTATTTTGAAATGTCCATTCTACCCATTAAGAATTACATCATCAAAGCACTTTATGGCAGTGAAAATAGCTCTCACCCCTCTGACTCATCCATTTTTCCATTAAAGCTGCAAAATGTGCAATCCGCTTGAAAAATAAGTCGCTTTTTATTTACTTTTTCATGAAAAGTAAAAAAAAAAAAAATTAAAAAAAAAATCAATAACCAGAAAGACCAAACCAAAAAACCAAAAAAACCCCAACAAAACAAAAAAAGACGACAGCCCCAGCTTATAGGGAATCTACATATGAACTTCTTCCATTCCCCCCAAAAATAACTTACAAAGATAGTTTAAAAGTTTTAAATGCATTTTAAACCAAGTGCATGTTATTTTATTTTATTTCATAATAATAATTATTATATCTTAAAATTCTAAAAACTCATAATTTACTTTCTTGGAAAAAAGGCAGCGAGCCGTTGCTTCTTGATTGGAAGAATATGTATTTCCGGTGAGTTCATTTTCTTTAACTTTACACTCCTGTTTTTGACAGGTTTTCTAAGAGCTTCTGCATTATCCCTGGACTCTGGCTGATTCTTCACATCATAACACTGCAGCACAGAGTCCTGTGGCATGTCCCTTTTGAAGGAAAAGTTTTTGGTGGATACTCCCGAGAGGCCTTTTATCTTGCCACAGAAAATAGTGGGCACAGCATCTTTGACAGAGACTATCACTTTGGCTGTCTGTGAAGTGCTCACGATCTCAATATTATTCCCAGCCTTGGGCTCACAGGATGTTCTGCTAGTCTGATCCACCAGCCACTTTTGCTGTTGTCTCAGGAGCTCGGATGAGTTGCTACTGATGATTCTGCTGTCAACCTTGGCTGAGGTTTCATGTGGTTTTGAAGGGATGAAAGGAGCTGCAACACCAGAGAGTTTATCTGCCATGGCATGAGCAGCACTGTCCATTATGGAGCCAGAGGAAAGGGCACTAGCTGCTTCAGCCTGGACCCCCATACTGCCCGTCTTCCTACAGGAAGCAATGGACAAGTCTAAAGCTCCATCTTCAGGTGAGACCTGAGGACTGGCTTCACTTGCCTTTAGCAAGGGCATCGTTTTCATGGAGAGGTCCAGGGCTTCATTCTCATTGCTCATCTTGATGACAGTGTGGCGATTAAGTTGGGAAAATTCCCTTGTGGGGATGAAGTCAAAGGGTTTTGACTCCTCCTTCTCCAGAGGGGTTTGGGTGCCTTTGCAGGAATGTGGAGTGAACGATGGCGTCTTGGGGTAGTCCGGGTTGACCTTGGATTCAGGACTGTGAGGCACGGGAATCGGGACAGGGATAGGAATGGGGACTGGGACAGGCAGAGGAACAATCACGGGGTATGGTACCAGAAGGGTGGCAGGAGGTACTAATGGAGACAGAGGGGAACTAAAAGCCTGGGGTGGGAGAGAAGAGTAATCGGGAGGTGGCTGACAGGGAGTAGAGCCTAAGGTGCCCTGGGAAGGAAACAAATCCTGAAGGACTGCTGCAAACCCCGGTGTCTGAAACACTGGGGGTAGGACAGGCTCCTGGGTCTGGCTAGATGGTTTCTGATCCAGTAGCTGGGGTTGTGCAACAGGGGTGGAAGAACCCTGGAAAATATTGTTGTGAATGGGATTTGTAGCACAGGGAGCACCCTGAGGTAATACCAATGGAGAATTTAAATGCTGAAACACATGTTGCTCTAAGAGGACAGGTAGTGGAACCGGACCTTGAGTTGTCATAACGTAGGGAGTATTGTTGCTGGGAGTAATCTGAGGGGTGGTACTCCCTGCTACTTGCAAGTGTATTGGCAGAACCACAGGGCTGTCCCCTAAACAAATTGGCTGGAGCACTGTGGCTGCTACTTTAAGAGCGACCCCACTTTGGGACTCGGCAGGTGGGGTGAGGATGGAAGGGGCTGGGACAGTCACAAGTGGAGAAAGTGCTTTCTTCATCAAGTCTGTTGAGTTGATGTTCCAGGCTTCAGCTGTTATCAGCTGAGCGACTCCATTTTCTAGTTTATTGTTGGCTATTGTGGAAGGATTGCTGGTAACATCCATGGGCAGGTTTTGTGTGTCCTTATACAGTTCCTCCATTTTACAGGACTTCTGAGATTCTGCTGAATTCAAGTTTACATTGCTGTCACCAGGATCCGGCGTGTCTCCAGGCTGCCAAAAGGGTCTGCACCAACATAGTTTGGCCTGCAAAACAGAAACATATTTTAAGCAGTGCATAAATCTCTTTCTTAAGCTAATATTTGCAGCTGCCTTTAAAGAGCCTCACACACACGCACACACACAAAAGCCGTTAAATGTTTCCACACTTCAGGGTAACTGCTCCATTATACTATACAGTATATACACATATATACTGTGTATACATACAGCTATGAGTGCTATATGAAGAGTTCTGGAGTACTTGTACTTTGCAGTAAACACAGATAATTTACAGGACTGAAGAACAACTGCAGTCAAAATAAAAAGCCTCCAGTATACAGTTTAAATGAGAAGTCAGGCACTATATTTTACATTTTTAAACAAAGCTTCATGCCATGACAGTGCATGGCACAGTCAACAGCCACTGCACTGTTTAAACTCAATAAAAAGCACAAAAGCAAGCTTTCCTAAAAATAAACTGTTAGGAAATGTTCCACTGCGGGGTTAAGAAGCTTCACAATGAATGAAGGGTCCTCACTCAGCCTAAAATAATCATCCTTTTCAGTCTTTGAAGATCTTGCTAGAATAAATCAGACAATCTACTCATGCACTCACTAAATAACACATTCAAAAACTGCTGTTAACAGCATAACAAAGAGCAATTAGTAGCTCGGCAACACAAGCCTGTAGTTTGATCATATTGTTTATTTGATAAGGATGCTTTTCTTCCTACTACGAAAACCTCAACACTTGTCCTGCTTCAGAACTAGATAATGACAGTAATATGAACCAGACGTCTTATTAATAGGATAAAAAAAAATTAAAAAAATCAAAGCAACTTTAAATTCACTCTGACAGGCTAATCCTTTATCTTAACCAAGCAAATGTCAGTAAAAAGTGCAGAGATCTTTTCCCCGTATGAGCACTGAGAAATGTTAGCATCCTTCTTAAAAACATTTTCCTTTCTAGAAGGTATTGAATTCATAGGTATAGTTCTCCCCCCCCAGTACAAATTATTTTTACCATGAAAGCTGCCACATGCACAACTTGTCTTTAGGTTTTGCTCGTACAGTAGCACAGAACATGCTTCTCCTAATTTAAGTGCTGCATCTTGTCATGATAATTGCCATGGAAATTTGTCCATATTTAGTCCTGTTACCCTGGAGAAGAATAAGAGCACCCCGAATTTACATTTCCACTTACACTCAACTGAATTTTATGACCTAAAATGATGCATGCATTAATGTTCAGGCATTTGTTAGGCTTAACAGTTCAGGGGTTTTGTTCCCTATTATTCATTCAGTAGTGTTTGTTGTTGTGGTAAATGAAATGCAACTCCAAAATTTGACATTTAGAGCCTGCAAAGCACAAGAGTATTTCCATTGACTCAGTGAGAAGACCCCCAGGTGTAAATTTACTCATGTGTAAGTATTCACAAGAAGAGAGCTATAACCTGTAAACTAAAAAGGGATAAGAAAACACATGAAAGGATAAAAAAAAAAAAAAAGGCCAAGGTAGGAAAAAAAAAAATCACTCGTTAAGATATTTAAATGCCAAACACCAGACTTTAGGTACCATAATAAGTGGCAGATCACAAAGTGTAGATTGCTAATAATTTAGGCTGCTTAAGTAATATAGAAACCATTTATTTATTATTATTTTAGAGCACCTATTTCCCCTTATTACCATGCGGACCTGAGGGAATAACTGTAATTCCATGATATGCCTTGGATAATATTCACAGTTCCCCCCCACCTTTCTCAAAACAAAAGATAACTAAAGACAAACAGATATTTATTATTTTCAAAGAGTTTAAAAAAAATCACTGATTCAAAGAATGCCAACTGTGCTTGTTCTTTACTCTTCAAAAAGGCTATCTTGATTCTTCCTTACTTCAAGCACTTAAAATAAGGACAATGAAGATAAATACTTGGCAGGTTAAGATTTTTAAAACCAACACTTTTCAATTTCACTAATATTAACAGGAAATCCCTTTAAAAATAAATCTTTCACCTCTTTTTATGCCTCTGTTCTATGTTTAAATCACTTTCAAATTTCTTTCTTACTGTATTATATAAATATTGAAAGAAACAGCTGAGAATATCAGAACAATGTATTTTATATCACTATGAAATTACACTGGGTGTTTTTGACTGTTTTTATTTGACAAAGAGATCTCTGCCCATCAAAAATTAATGACCCAGCAGTGTTAGGAGAGAGCCTTCTAGTCCCCTGAGAAACCCACTTGATACTAAAAAAAATGGGGAAAAAATTAAGATGAAAATTATGCTATAGAAGAGACTTGAAGGATTAGTGTGCCGAACTGGCTTAGAGAAGGAAGCAGAGATAAGTGCAGGAGATGACAGTAAAACAATAAAATCCCACTTCACTGCCTTAAAAAGTTACTACGCTACAGGCAGAGGAAATAGCTAGACTAGGGAAAGACAACCTCATATATCATAAACAGACACCTTTAAAAATCCATAGGTATTTCTTCAGCACAGTAAAATAGTGTTTTCCATGCTGAGTCCCGTGTGCCTCTAGGATATATATTTTGTTGAAAATATTTCTGGCATTGCTAGAGGCTCTGGCCTGCCAGCAACAAGACACAATTTTAAGAGTAGAAACTGCAGTTTTAAGCATGGAAATTGCAAAGGAGAAAGGCGAAGGGGTTCAGTGTGTTAAAAGCTTATAATATAAAAGGAAAGTTGGGTTTGTATATTTTTAAAAAATTATTGTTGTTGGTGGTATTATTATTATTATTATTATTATTCTTCATGGCTCAAGTCTCCTAGCTGGTAGACAAGGACATATTATAGAACCCTGTGGGCAGCATGGAACAGATGAGATTTTTTTTTCCTTTCACACAATTGCCATTTCTGTCTGTGTTATAATGAGTCTCTGAATATATGGGGCTTTTCTTAAGACCCAGTTCTTGGAAGCCTGTGATTATAGGAAACACTCTCAGCTTTCTTCTTGAAAAAACCATGTTTTTAGTCCTTATGATTTCAGGGACATACTTGAAAATGTGATTCCCAAAAAGCTTATAAAACCCTGCGTACTGTTAAAATACCATGCTTTTAGAAACTACCCATGGGCCAATCTAGGATTTTAAAAAGGGGAGGGTGCAGATGGTGTGGTGCATCATTGTATATACCAAAACACATTTTTCTCCTGGTAAAAAGAAACTAGAAGCTGTGTTCACATGTTAAGGGCCTACAGCTATATTATTCTATTTAAGATCCAAGCAAAATCAAGTATAACTTTATCAGAATGTGGATCAATTTGCTATACCATAGGTTATGTAGGTTACGTTTTAAAAAACAATGAACTAGGCAAAAGTAACCAAAAGATGTTGCTTGTTTAGTCCTGTAATCGCTAGAATTAGATGCACCTCTTTTTCAGATTCATAAAAACTCCTGAAGCTTGAGTGTGCATCTACTGCTTCATTGGAAGTTATTTCCAGAGCTGAGTTCATGTTCACTTGGATTAACATTTTCACACCTAAATTAATGTTTTTAGTTAGAGTTAAAAACAGTTTGCATGGCTGTGAAATAGGAGCTACATTACTGGGAACAGCAGGGACAGCAAAATTGCAAAAGAAAGAATAGCTTGAATGTTAAGACCATTAAAATGACACGGGGTCATTAACACTTGTGCAACGAAGACTTTAGAAGGAATCAGGTGGATTATAATAAACCATGAAGTGAGATGACTCCCTCACAGCTGCCTGACTAGAAATGCTGCTGCCACTCCAGGCAGTTTGTTTTAAACTTTGGGTGGAGCAGGAATCAAAGTGGGTGCCGCTGCATCCCCCTCCCCCAGGGATCTGCCCCTGAAGCTGCCTTGTGATTTTTCAAAGCTTAAAGTTGGCAATATGACAGCAGGGGTGGAGCAGAGCAGTGGAAACAGTTCCAACCTTTTCTAGGATGTTACAAAGAATAAGGTAAGTCAAATACTCTCACCAGTCAGGACCAGTACACGCATTTTCAATATAAGACAGTAAGATGAAGAAGGCAGAAAGAAAGAGCACAAAATGTAGGTTTCCTTAAGGATTGATCATTGACGAGGTTTGCTGGGATATGCTCAGAGCATCCCCATCAGATTTGCAAAGCAGAATCTCCCATTCTGTGTGTTTGTGGCTTTCCTAAGTTTGATGGTCCTTGTAGCATGCTGTGGTTTGCCAACACTTCTCTCTTATGCACACAATAACTGTGCAACTGCTAGAAAACAAAACCTCGCCTGTACACGAGACAGACCTCACTGATTTCCGTGATAGTTGTCAAGCAATTGATCACAGGAAGAAAGTACAATGTATTTCAAGACCTTTCAAAGCACTGTCGTAACAATAAATTGTGGTGTCTACATTGAAGATATTGGAAAATCAAGCAGAATCATCCACAACATTTCCAAGCCAATCCAATTACACAATTCTTGGTTATATTAAAATTTTGTGACATACTGTGCGTGCAGAGGGAAACAGATCCAAGGCCCAGACTCTCAAAAGGTATCTAGGGGCTCCTATACACGTGCAGGAAGCTGGCTCTGACGCACATGCAATCCAGCACTGGCTTGAAATCCAGTGCATCAGAGCAGACTTGAAGAATTGGAAATAAACGTGCTCCAGCAGACTCTGGTGTCACATATATTAGTGTCTTCGCGCCGAAAAGTGGTGGCTCATTTAATTAGCTTTAGTTCAAAGTGCCCCACTGCTGTTTTTCAGCACAGGGGGGACACTGATACATGTGACGCTTGGGTGCTTTTAATTAGAAGCGCTCACGAAGCGCTCACTGATTAATGCCCCCTCCCTTCCCGTGCCTCCTGGAGCATGTGACAAAATTCCTAGGTGCCTAATTCATGGGAGTTATATGCTAAAATACCTGCGGATGTCTGGGACCATGTTTCATAGTTTCATAGTAGCTAAGGTCAGGAGGGACCTGAACAGATCATCTAGCCTGACCCCCTGCCACAGGCAGGAATGAATGCTGGGTTCACAAGACCCCAGACAGGTGATCATCCAACCTCCCCTTGAATTTGCCCAAGGT